CCTCAAAGGTTTAATGTAATGTTCTGATAAATGGTGACCTTGACTAAAAATAGATCACTCATAAAGACTGCGATTCTTTCGTTAAATATTTTCGGCAAAAATACCCGGTCAAAAATTTTGCTTAAAATATGAGATTAATTATTGTAAATAAAATGATTGTTGAAGGGAAAATATTTTTTTACAGAAATAATCTTCATAATATTCTCTGCACAAAATCATCTGCTGATATAAAATATCTTAGGTAGTTACATTTATGTACGCATTTATTTTGACCGTTGTGTCAACAGTGAAAATAAATTAACTGCTGGTGTTGCGTCAATGCGACACTGGTGGCTAATGGGTTAAAAATCCTTAATTTCACTGAAAATTATCAAAAGGTCTTTAATTTTATTCAGCTGACATTTCTGTCTGTTTTTTTCAACTGTCCTTTAGAGTGTGAATTTGAGTGGAGGAATGTTTTTGGCAATGCATTGACAAATATGTATTTGATGGGTTAGTGTTTAAATTCTTTCCTCCTCTTTAATAGAAAATGTAGATACTTGAGTTTTAGTTACAAGACCCTGCCTCGGTTAAAACTTTTCAAAATAATTTCTTGTTACTGAATGAAGAGTTCTTAAAATATTACTCCAAAAAACAGCTTTTGCCCTTGGTGGGATATGAATCTTTTTATTATGCGGGATGACTTATCAACATTTTGGCATTTCAAATTCATTTCAAAAACATTTTGGTGATCAGTTTGTATACAAAATTTTTATTCCAAGATTTGCAAAATTTTCACAATTTTTCTTACAATCTTTAATAACTTTCATAAATATATAATACAGTCAAATGTCATTAATTCGGATACCCATAATCCGGAATGATCTATAATCCAGACCTCAAAGCTAAAAACTTTCTGCGCATGCGCCGCATTGACACATGCGCATAGGCATTTACGCGTGCGCATAAGACCTTTATGACTGCGCATATGCGTGTGCGCAAGTGCAAAATACGTTTTCGCGCGCGCATTTAATGTATAACGGACTGTATAAGCTAAAATTATCTATTTCAGTTAATGTTGATGATTGCGTTGTTCCTTAATCTTCGAATTGGATGCGGCTTATTATTTTTTGCAGACTGTAAGAGCAATTTTATAAAAGTAAGCTTGAACTTTCGATTATGTCAAATTGAATTTCCGATGCTGGAGCTCCCAAAAGATCTACAAATCGAAAGTATGTTTTGATGTCCATCAAACAAAAAGTGGAATTGCTGCAAAAAATGGATAAAGATATGAAGAAGGTGACAGAGAGGTTAGTGAAAACTAAAAAAAATTCAATTGACAAGTTAGTCTGTATTCTCGGCACAGCAATTTCGGGACTTGAACAGCGGAACTTCGTAACTGAACAAGAAATTATGTCTGTTTATAGAATTAAAGAGAAAGTATTATCACATAAAACGAAGCAACTTAAAGAACTTACATCGAAAGAAATGTTTAATAAAGTAAACAAATAAATATTAAGCTGCTTTTTTTTTTTTTTTTTTTTTTTTTTTTTTTTTTTTTTTTTTTTGTAAATTTTGATACCCTTTAGATCATAATTGTTCTTTATTTCATAAATTACGGTTTCATATTTTTATTTTAGAATTTCTGCTTGCCATCTTACGAGATTTAAACTGATGATCCATAATCCGGAATCGCCGAAGTCCCGACGAGTCCGGATTAACGACTTTTGACTGTAATGATAATTTTATCATTAAAATTAAACATTTTTATTTTTCTCTGCCAAATAAGTAATATTGCTTTCCATTTTGGAAAGTTTTGATTCTGAAAAATAAGCATAGATAATAAATGCTACAAAGCACAGTTTCCAAAACACTTCTTAGAAAAAACAAAAATGCTACTATAATTATTTAAAAATTGTCTTATGATAAGAGATTTTTTTCTCACGTAATTGTTTCAGAATATTTAAATGTGATTTCAATTCTCTTTTCTGATTTTTGTTTTTTAAAATCTTTTGGCTTTTTACTATTACAGAGATGATAGGGATAATTTTTCTGTCACATTTTAGATCATGCATCTTGGAAGGACTGAAGGCAAGATTTATAGACTAACAATTTCCAGAAAAATGTAATAAAATGAAAACTATCTTCATGGTATTAACACGTAATGGACGTGTTTTATAGGAAATTTGTAATGAATTTCTGATCTTTTAGAGAATTTTTTGAAGACCAGTGAAAACAAAATTATTTGAATTTTCTGCTTCTGATCCCAGAAGTCTTTTCATATTTATCTTATCTTTATTTTCACATATTTATCGTATCCACTTTATTTTCACACAGTCACATATTTATCTTCCCTTTATTTTGTTATATTTCCACTAGACACAGACATTGAAGCAATCGAAGAAAGCAAAGAATTTGAAAACAGACAATTTATTAAAAGATTCATCATGTATGTAACAATGCACGATATATCCCTCATGCCCCTGTGGTGCTTGAGCAATTTATTGGAACTATGTATAAATACTGTATGTTAACTGGGTTACAATAATTAAATACTCCAGCAAATCTGCATGAAGCTACATCACTAACTGGGATAGGCAAATGCAGCTAACTTTCAACACTTACCAACCATACCAACATTAGGCATTCATGTCTGTTCTATCAGCAGTTCTCTGTCTCTTAGCAAGCGGCTGCATTGGCTACAGCCAGTCTTCTATTATGAGTCACGCAGATTATTATATTACTTCAGAATTTAAACTATCCCACTTGGCATAATTTGCATATACCTGTGGACTGAGTATGTGACAAAATGATGCGTAAGAGAATCGATATAAAGCTGTTAGTAAAATTTAAATGAAAAAGCATCTAATCTTCTTTGCTATCTGGTTATAATGAAAGTTTTCTGCCAAAGAACGCTCTTAATACATGAAAGCAGTACCTTTAGTGTGGGTAGATTTTAATCAAATATAATTAATTCATTTTGGAATTATAAAATTTTCATAAGAAATTAATTCGATATCATTGTTTCAATTAAATACTGCTGGTTAAAAAAAATACTGGTTATAAATAATATGGTGAATTCAACGTGTAATAATTGAATTCATAATCACAGATACTATTATTACATCTACATTTGGAATAAATGTTATGCACTATATTCAGTCTTGATAGTGCTTGTACTTGCACTTGCTAGATACTCGTTCTAGTCCAAATTACCCTGCTGTTAGACCAAAGAACACTATAGAATACACATTCTTTGCTTGAGTTAAAGAACAGAATACATATTATGAGCACTGATATTTACTAGTAGCAAAGGCTAAACATTAAAATACTTAATAAATATATACAACAGTGTAAAGTGCATAAGAATAATCTACATAAAATGAAGAAAAATATTTCAAACAGTAACTTTAAAAGTTTTACTTACCGCTCAGGAAATTGATGAAGGCTCGGTCAGCCATGTTTTTCTGTTACTGTCTGTTGGCTTCTCCTGATTGGCTGAGATACCTCCCCCCCCAAAAAAAAACGGTCACGTGATTCTTTCAGAATCACTGTTTCCTTTCAGAAATTTTCGTGTAACATTTTAATTTTTGTAACTTTACAAAACTTTTGCCTGTAAAGGACATGTCCCCCTCCCAGTGTGTCTGTTAGGGGTTTTGGACTATTTAACTTTTGCCAGATCATGTGAAATATCATAGGTATGTTGTTGAGACATTGACAAGCTAGGAGATGATGCACAAACTAGTGGAAACATTGGTTTGCTTAATGAGAAAGAAATTGATATAAAGTAGCCAAAATTTTCAAATTAAAGATACATAAATATTTTGTTGTGTGTTGTTGGTGTAAAACAATGTTTTTTAATTTTTATTATGTAATTATCTTAATATCGTTTAACCATCAATGTCATGAATTACAAGTGATTTAAACTGTGAAGTGTTATTAGTTTTTGATTTTAGTAGTGCTTTTTTAACAAAAATTTTAAGAAGTAAAAAAAAAAATTAATTAGTGGCCATGTAACTCTTAATGACCAAGAGTAGCTAAGTACCTAATTTAATTATTTGTTACTAATTGCTCATTCTTATCTCTCTCATTATCTCTGGCATTTTAAAGCAAGTTACTGCCTTTCATTTATTCATACTGTGGTCACAAGATACAACCCCAAAATGTAAAAATTAATGTAAAACTTGTGCCTTACAGCTAGTGAGACTTAAAATATTACAAAACAACTTATACCTCTTTACTGGCTACCATACAAAAAAATAAAGGTATTCAAGTCTGATTTGATCAGCAGGTCTGTCACTAGGCAAGCAGCAGCAGTGCCAACAGCCTGTCATCTGTTACAGATCATGCTGATTATAGATTTACTTCTCATTTTTAACCTATGATGTTTGACATAAAATCTGCTTGCTATTTACTAAATCTCTACACTGAGTGTATGTGACGAAACAAGACAGAAAAATAAACATGAAACTCTTAGTAAAAAGTAAATTAAATGTCACTAATCTTCTTTTATGGGCAGCTATTTTAAGTGTAAAATATTTAATTCTACTTGATAAATTTTTTAAGTTGATTTTATTCTCAAATTTAATACGAAAGTGAAGTTCAGGCATAAATAGTATCTTTAACTGAATTTTTCAGTTTCCATTTGCTGATATGTCCTTAATTTTTTTCATTAATGGTCCTTAAAAGTGCTTAATTTCCATGTGCAGAAATGTGTACGAACCCTGTTAAATGTTGAATATTTTCATTAGTATACATACTTTACATTTGTATTCTGTAAACTATGTCATTATTCAATCTAGATTTATTTTCAGAATTTTTGTCTGTATGATTACTCTTAAGATTGATTTTAATGAAAGTCTGTTCTTATGCACAAGAATGTGTATTAAAAAAATCTTGGCTACAAAAACGTGCTGCATGTTTTAACTTTCAAATACGCTTATATTTGATATAAATATTTTTTTAAATGGGCAATTTTTAAAACAATTTTAATTTTTTATTAATTGCTTCTGTAATTTAAGAATCTGATGATGATGAAGAGAAAACAGTAGATTTTTTTAAGAAACCCCAGAAAGCTGAGAAGGAAGAACCAAAATCAAAGCTTTTGAAAGGATCTGATGATGAGGTGAGTAAATCTTTTAAAATATTTGTGTATTTTAATATTTATTTTGCTATAAACCATTGATAAATATCAAGTATAACAGTTCTAACAGTTTTGATGTGCTGTGAAGAATAAGACATCAGAATATTGTCAGAATTATTTTTAAAAAAATTTAAGAAAAAAAAGAGAAAAAAGTAAAAATGCCAAACAGAATTAACCTTTGGATAAAATCAAGAACTTGTAGCAGTTGTGTCTGTGATATGCAAAATACTTAATATGTGCTTTTTCTTATTTATATTAATTTTGGAAAATGCAGAAGATTAGTGATTCTAAATACCATATTTACTCGAAAGTAAGAAACCTCAGTTATAACCCACCTTTTATTTCAGAATGAATTTTCAGAAATAAAAATTTAGTTACATATTTGATGAGAATATGGTTCCAATTAGAATCATTTGATTCTTCTTAAAATAGTAAGCTACCTAATTAAATATAGTATTTTAACATGGTATAGAAAGATAAATTAGGAAACCTTAGAAATATATTGTTACCTATTTGTTTTTCAGGCATATTGAGAGGGGAGCTAAATAATGCTAAGCCCTAAAAGACTCTTTTGACAAGTATAATATTGTTATGTGGGTACAAATTCATAATGAATTGAATGCACATAGAACCGATAATAGATTGATAAAATTTATTTTCCCAAAAGAAAAACTTCGCATTTCTGCAACGTTTTGCAAAAATATTTATACTGCTCTTATCAGTATGTCCAAGCACCATCACTAGTTACCACTTCAAACTACTAAGAACATTAAATACAAAACAGTATTAAAGAAAAAAAGAAAAAAAAAAGAGCTTCAAATGTGTAAGCTGCCCCAGTGATCTCTCAGTACTCTGAACTAAACTGAGAATTGATACTCTTTCCAATCCTGTATAGTTTTCTCTTGTCCGCCGAGAAATTTCCGGTTCTTTCTTTTTCTCGAAATTGCTGGATGGTGTATACAGTTTCTGTCATACAGGGATCGGACCAAATAATTGTTTAGTGATTTATCTTCAAATTTGGGAATAAAAATTATTTACTAAAGCAATCGCCAGCTTGGCACTATCTCACCAGCCATTTGCTTCAATTTAAATAGACCTCCCCTGTAGCCTTATTTTCTGGCGAAGTTTCGCCTTCTCGAGGTCTTTCATGTTACATTATATAAGAGAAATTATAACTTGCATGTAATTTCACAAATTATTTATATATATACAAAATTTGTAGTTGTATGTCAGTAATTATCTTGTCCAAAGTTAAGGCATGATGTATTATAAATGAAAAATTTAATAGTAAACTTAGTAGCTTAAAGTATTAATATAATAGCTGACATTAAGTGATTGATTATTATTATAAAAAATTATGGTGATTGCAGAAATTATTTGTTATGCATTTTCTATCAGTAATTATAGTTTGTAAAACTGCATTTGAGTTTAGTATTTAATTGTTTATCACTATAATACTACTGTAAGATCATTTCCTCTTTTTTGTACTTTTAATGTTTAGTAATGTTAATGAAGTATGTAGTTTAGTGAACAGTAGGAAAGTGGGAAGCAGATTAGATTTCAGCAGGCTGTTGCACATTCTGGCATATCACTAATAAATTCAAATCATTACCAAAATATGCTGTTAAATAGATTATTTGCTAGTAATTACTTCAGGAATAATCATTTATCACTAATTACTTGTTGCAGTCAACAAAGAGCTGGGAAAGTGCAATGTGTATTCTCGTTGATAAAAGGTGAACTTTTATTGATACAAATCATTTGCCTCTGTTTTTAAGATATAAGATTACATTGAGATAGCACTGATATAAATAATAGTAACATATAATCATTGTAAACAATGGGCTATAGAATTTAGAAATTTTAATATTGAAAAATCTTATTATGTTCTTTTCAGAAAAGAATCAAGATTCGGTATGTAGTAGAAGAATTGATAAATTATCTGGTTTGAGAGAGGAACTGTAATAGACCTTCCTTTGTATAAGAAAAGTGGTACTTATATGTTTTGCTATTGATCATTTTTGATAAGCAAAGACTTTTGTAAAAGAGTGCAGTATATCACCATTAATGGATGAGTATTTCATCACAGTGCATATTTGAAGCAATAAAATACTGTGATATTCGCCAAAATGGCACAATAAAAACCACAGCAGAACTACACATAATAACTTAAATTTGTACTTGAATGAATTTATGTAGCCCCCGAATTTCCAAAATAGATGACTATTTTATTGCTATTTTAAATGCCATTAAGGATTTTTGAGCACTAGAATGATTGAAAAAATTTTTATGAATATCTTTATCTGATAATCTCACGTTTTAAACTCATATTTTTTTTCATATGCTTTATTTGCAACTTGTATCTGTTCATTACATAACTAAATGAAGAATGGTCTATGCTTCTAAATTTCTACCAGAATGATTGGCAAAAATTTGGCGAAATCTCCGCCAATTTTTATGATCAACTTGAAAATGTAAAAAATTTCCATTTTATATTGAGAAATGTTTAGTTTGAGAAAGATTAAGTTTTGATAATCATAATGACTTTGCTTGGTCAAAAATGATTCATTGAGAACAGTATAAAATGCAGAGAAAAACTTTATACAACTTTTGTTGAAATTTTTTCCCCCTTTATTTATAATACACTTCGTTCCTGAGCTCTGTTGTGTTTTCTCAGTAGATAAAATCCAGTTGTACATGTTTAGAATATGATGACATTGTTATCAGCAGAAGAAAATAAAAACCATATTAATTCTGGTGTAATTATATTTTATGCTTCAATTAAAATTTTTCATGTAAACAAAAAGTATTTAATTTTCTCCTAAAGATGATGTTGGTTATTTGTAAATATAAATGTGTGCTGTTTTTCAGACATTTATTTTTAACCTGTTTTACAATTCATATATGTATTTATCACTTTCTTGAAGAAATTTCATAAGTAATACATGATGCATCTTTTCCCCCCTCATATATTGCATTAACTTGTAATTTTGCTGGATTTCTGAATAACTTTATAGATAATATGCCTGCTCTTGAAATTTAAAAACATTATGTTATGAATTTTGTATATATGTACGTAGCGTATTCGGAAACTAAGTACCGTTTTATTCTAGCACCGTCGCAGCCATTGTAGGCGTCCCGCGCATGCACACTAGTCTTTCTTGTTCACTGATTTTCAATTGTCACCATTTTGGTTGCTCTATGTTGTGTTTTCAGTTTGCGGTGCACATTCAAAATTTTAAGACAATTAGTTCTCCCGCTGACTGTGAGATTCGTGCCGTGATTAAATTTTTGAATGCAAGGAATGTTAAACCGGCCGAAATTTATCGTCAAGTGACAGAAGTTCACGGTGAATACGCGATAAGTGATGGTGAGAAAGTGGGTAAGAATGTTTAATGGCAGGTCGAACAAATGTCCACGCCAAGGCTCGGAGTGGTCGGCCTTCTGTTGTCACCGATGATTTGGTTAGGAAAGTTGATGAAGCAATTCATGAGAACAGATGCTTCACAATGACAACTCTTTCAGAGGCATTTCCACTAATTTCATGTACTGTTTTGTTCGAAATTGTGTCTGACCGCTTGAATTATCGCAAACTGTGTTCCCGATGGGTTTCAAAAATGCTCACTGATGTTCACAAAACAAAGCGACTTGGTAGTGTCCTGACATTTCTCACGCGGTACAGTGATGAAGGAGAAAATTTTTTAAACCAAATTGTGACAGGTGATGAAACTTGGGTGTGTCAATTCACACCAGAATCGGATCAACAATCGATGGAGTGGAGACACACTCATTCTCCGAAAAAACAAAGGTTTAAAGTGACAATATCATCACAAAAAATCATGTGCACTGTCTTCTGGGATAGGAAAGGCGTTTTGCTTACTGAATTTCTTCCCAGAGGTGAAACCATGAATGCGGTACGATATTGTGAGACTTTAACAAAACTAAGGCATGCCATTCAAAACAAACGAAGAGGAATGCTCAGTAAAGGAATTGTGTTGCTCCATGACAATGCTTGGCCCCATACTGCTGGTGTCACTCAATCGTTAATTCGACAGTTTCATTGGGAGCAGTTCGATCACCCGCCGTACAGCCTGGACTTGGTGCTGTCCGACTATCACTTGTTCCTGCAGATGAAGCGCGAGCTTGGTGGCAAGCGCTTTGGATCTGACGATGACACGAAAAATGTTGTGGAGTCGTGGTTATCGAAACTGGCGGGAAGTTTCTTTGACGATGGTATACAAAAACTGGTCACCTGCTATGAAGTGTTTGATCATTGGCGGAAACTGTGTTGAAAAATAGTTTAAGACATGTATTTTCATGTAAAAATAAAATTGGATTTTATTTTTTAAAATTTAAAAATAAAATTTTTGTACTTTTTTTTTTTTTTTTTTAAACGGTATTTAGTTTTCGAATACACCTCGTAAATAATTTTAGTGAAATTATATGTAAATTATAGTATCTCTTGTGTAACATGAAAGCCTCAAGAATCCGAAGCTACACTGGAAAAATGAGGCTATGGAGGCTGCATTTAACACTGCAGTAAATGCTGATTGCCACTAAGTTGGCAATGGTTTTGGGCAACTTATTTGGTGAAAATTTGCCAAAATTGGTGACATTTTGGTCCCATCTCTATGGAATTGTAATTGTCCTTGCCTCCCAAGAATTTCAAAAAATTGAAGGTATTTCAAATTTCTCTGCAAATGGAAGTTTTGTTGAAAACTGGCGAGAACATGAGTTCTCAGATTAGTTTAGAGTATTAAGAAATGACTGTGCAAGCTTATGTGTTAGAGGCTTTTAGCATTACTTTGAGGTCAACATTTTTAGTTGTTTGAAGTGGTAAATACTGAACTCTGTCATACTAAGAAGAGCTGTATGAGTATTTTTTGCGAAAAGTTCTAGTATGCTAAAGTGTTTGGGAAAATAAATTTTGCCAAACTATCATTGATTCTGTGTGCATTCAATCCATTATGAACCCATACATGCATAAGTTACTTAAATGTAACATATTGTGTGTATTTGTTAACACAAAAAGTACACTATGTTTAAAAAAAAATGTTTTATTACTGATGTAAGTTAAAAAATATGTTGTAATGTCCTTGAAAATTTTGTAGGAATCAGATGACGATTCTATAGACTGGGGTTCATCTTCAGAGGAGGAAAGTTCCTTATCCACTGATGATGAAAAATATGGGGGAAATCTGGCCACAAAATTCTTAAAGAGGTGAGTCATGGTTTGTTTCATTAAGAATATTTTTTATAATGAGAGAAATGTATAGAATATTACTATTTATATATGGAACCCAACATAATGTGCAAACATTGTCATTTAATTTTGCTCTTTTCAATATTACCATTTTGAAAATGCAATATCAGCAACACATAACTTAATACAGCTATTGTGGTGGTGAAATAATATATGGTATACATTAAAGTGGTCTGTTTGGAGATAAATGTTCTCAAAATTTTATTCACAATACATTGCCTTTCAGATATGACTCAGATTAATTCTATTATTTCAGTTGGAATTTGTATTTCATTAGTTATATTTGTTTCACTTATTAATCCTGGGAAATAAAACTGAAATATTTGCATTAATTTTGGTACCTTCAAGTTAAATTACATGATAAATCAAATACATTAATCTGTAGTAGATTTCCTGCATAGCTTAGCCCTGAGTACAGTACAAACAGTAGACTGATATTATTCATGCAAGGTGATGGAGATATATTCAAATACTGTGTAAATTGTTACATTATTTTCTTCCTTCGCGTTCGTATGGGGTTCGTAGATTTGGAGTGAATAACAACGACACTTGATGAAGTATCGAAATACACTTTATTTACTAATATTCTCAGAACAGCTCCAAAATCACTTTTACAGTCGTTGAACTGTTATAAACACACGCTGACACGTTCAGGGACACAGCCTTCACACTGTCAGGCAATAATGGTGGAGACAGCTTCACTGCAAAGCACCAGAGTACAGCTCCCGACTCTGCTTGGTCGTTCTCGGAACTCCACGTACTCTCGAGACTCTCAACGCGATGCACTCGACGATACACAAAAGTATAGCTCTCGACTCAGCACAGTCTAAGACAAAACTCGACGATGCACTAATTCGCGATACACTAAAAGACTATCTTGATGCCCTCGACGACCAACTCGGCGCTATACTTCGACACACTCGCTCAATGACTGACTGTTAACTCGCTAGACGAGGCACACACACTGACTGACTGTGGACCAGCAGGGTTTGTATAGCTTTCGTCTTGTGTTCGAGCACATTCTGGGCTAAACTGGTAAGAATTTGTTCCAGAAAATTCTCCATCTGTCCATGGTATATCACCAATTTTGTCGCCAAATGGGCGATTTCTCACCAAAAGTTGCAACCCTGCCTTCCCTTGCCATTTTTATGGCAACCCTAAAACTGCTTTGCGGGGAAGCTATCTCGCTGCCCCTGTACATTTCGTAACACTGCCCCCTCCCAAGGACTGCATGTCCCTGGAGTGCAACCCTTGGTCGGAAGCCAAATTCGATACAATCAAAAGGCAATAGAATAAGCAAATAACATAACTAAAGAAACAAACATTTACAGTACATACAAACTTTACACAGAAACTAGGTAAGAAAACTCATGCACAAGAATTATCAGTACCCCTAAGAAAGAGAAGCACTAAGGACTATGGCCATAGTATGGGGCTAATATGTGTCCTAATGAACGACCTTGGGTTTGGAATTGAGGGATTTACGGATCCGTATCACGACGTCGTTCAATCTGTTGAGACTGTATAGGGACCTTCCCAATGCGACTGCATTTTGGGAGAAACGCCCTTAACGACTTGGATTCCACATCCACACATTGTCGTTTTCCTGGAATTGATGTTCGGTGGCTCTTGCGTCGTATCTCTTCTTCATCCTGTCCGTCAAGATGTCGATCTGCTCTCCAGCAAACCTGTGTTCTGTTTCCAACTGGGCCTGGAGGTCTTGCACGTACTCCTCAGGCGAGGAATGTACATCCGGAGGGCGGCCGAAGAGTGGGTCACTTGGCAGGCGGAGATCGCGACTGAAGAGCATCTGTGATGGAGAGTAGCTGGTGCTTTCGTGGGTGGCACTACGGTAAGTAAGCAGGAACGGGGGTAGCTTGCGATCTCAGTATTCTTGGTTTTTGGAAACCATGAGCGAGAGGTGGTTCAGGATTGTACGGTTAACCTCTCCACCATGCCATCAGACTGCAGATGTAACGGGGTCGTCTGCATTTTCTTGATTTTCAACAAGTTGCAGAGTCCCTTGAACACAGCCGAAGTGAAGTTCCTGCCTTGGTCAGAATGAATCTGGAGGGGGTCCCAAATCTGGACACCCAACTCTGTTAACTTCAACTGTCGTGACAGCCTCTTGATCTGGAACTGGGTAAGCTTCGGGTCACTTTGTAAAGTAATCCATGACAACGAGGATGTATTGTTGCCGTCTGTGGTCCGAGGAAAAGTCCAAGTATGTCGAGGGCAATTTGCTCGAAAGGCGCTCCTACGTTGTATCGCTGCAGCCTTCTTCAGCTATGTCCCTTCGGTCCTTTCATGGCTACGCAAGCATCACAAGATTGGCACCACTTCTCAACATCGTTTCTCGCCGAACTCCAGAAGAAGCGCTCTCGGACCTTGTTTAGTGTCTTCATACAACCAAAATGCCCTCCTGTTGAGCTGCTGTGTATTTCCTTCAGAACATCTGGTATTCAGTTTCGAGGAAGCAGCAGCTGCCATATCTTATTAGTTCCCTCATAGCTTTCCCATAGTCGATATAAGACTCCATTTCGGAAGTGGAGTGAATTCCAGAGAGCCCAGTACCTGTTAGTTTCAGGGCTGAAAATGGAAATGTCCTGCCACTTGGGTTTTGTACTGGATGATTCGTTCAGTTCTATTATTGGCCTAATGTCAGGATCCGCTGATTGGTCTTCTCTAACCTTTTCATCACTCCACGGATCTGGATCAGTTGATGTTGAAGATGTTACTTGCCGGATACTCGGATTCGCCAACCCGTACTTAGCCTCGGCTCTTGAACAATGGCTGCAGTGTGCAGGACAAGGCTTCCTGGATAAAGCATCCGCATTTCCGTGGGAGGAGCCTTTACGATGTTTTATCTCAAAGTCATATTCCTGGAGTCTTTGAATCCATCTGGCTATTTGTCCTTTGGGATTTTTGAAATTCAGTAGCCAGGTTAGAGAAGCATGGTCAGTCTGCAATAAGAATTTTCTGCCATAGAGATAATGATGGAAATGTTCTATGGTCTTTACGATAGCAAGCAATTCTTTACGGGTGACGCAATAATTCCTTTCCGGTTTGCACAAGCATTATTCTCCAATAGGCTATTACTCACTCTTGACCATTAATCATTTGAGAAAGGACAGCTCCCACACTTTCGTTGCTTGTGTCCAGCATAAATTCTTTGTCTGTCTGGGGATATGCGAGCAATGGGCGTAGATGTTAATGCCGTGTTCAACTGATTAAAGGACTTCTCGCACTCCTCAGTCCACATGAATTTTTGTTTACTTTCTGTTAATTTATGCAGAGGCCTTGCGATGTTGGAGAACCCCTTCACAAATCTTCTGTAATAAGTACAGAGTCCCAGGAAGCTCCATAGTTAATGAATATTTACAGGACGTTCCCAGTTCTGAACTGCCGACACCTTTTTTGGATCTGTGCGGACACCTTCGGCGGAGATGACGAACCCGAGATAGGTAACTTGCATTTCGAAGGACTCAGTTTAAGGTTGGCATCTCTCAATTTCTGGAACACCTTCCTGATATTTTCTAGATGCTCCTCGAAAGTACGGCCCACTATAATGATGACGTCTAGGTAGACCAGACATGATTCATAAGATAGACCACAAAGCACTGTCTCCATCAGGCGTTCAAATGTTGCAGAGGCGTTACAGAGTCCAAAGGGCATAACTCTAAACTGCCAGAGTCCTTGACCGGTAGTGAACGGAGTTTTCTCTCTTTCATCAGGATGACTTTCCACTTGCCAGTATCCACTCTTGAGGTCCAGAGTGGAAAACCACTTGTGTCCTGATAGGGTGTCTAGAGTATCATCAATCCTGGGAAGAAGGTAACTATCTTTCTTAGTGACATTATTTAGTCTCCGGTAGTCGACACAAAGTCTTGTCGAGCCATTTTCTTCCGGATGAGAACTATAGGAGATGTCCATGGACTTGTGGATGGTTCGATGATATCATTTTCTTGCATCTCCTTCAGAAGATTTCCAACCTCTTCCTGTTTTGCAAATGGTAAACGTATGGGATGCTGCTTTATCGGAGAGTGATCCCCCGTATCAATTTGATGTTGCGTCAGTTTTGTGCGGCCAACATCTCCGGATGATCTAGAAAATAGATCTTCAAATTCTTTGTTTTCTCTGCCACATGCCTTTGTTCCTGGGTTAAATTTGCATTCTGCAGAAATTCTTCCATTAATTTATTAGTTGCGTCAGTCGGAATTTCAAGAGGGGCTTTGTAAACGCAAGTAACTGGAGTGCATGCTGCTAGCACTTCACCCTTTTGGATGTTTCTCGGTCTGTGGCTAACATTCGCCACTCTCATAGGGATGAAATCTTTCGAAAAGTCTACTGATGAGGAGGCCACTAATGCCTCTCATGGGCTATTTTCTGGGTATTCAATTAGTCTAAATTTGAAGCTATTCTTTTCTATGGAGCCGGCTATTAATAATTCTGTCATTGGAGGGATGGTGACATCTGTTTTTGTTGTTACTTGATGAGCTGAAGAAATGCTGCCATTCATTTCAAACATAGTTATATCTTCTTTTGCAGAGTGCATTTCATTACGTTTAAAGTCCAGCGTAAAGTGGTACTTCCGCAAAAAGTCCAGTCCAAGTATTAATTCGTCCGCAATGTTAGCGACGAAAGCTAAGTGCTGATAGGTCTCATTTTCGAAGGTAATGATGATGCTAATTTTACCTTCAATGGAAATCTTATCACCTGTTAGTGTTTGTAAAGACACAGGGCGGAGTCCAGCGCAACGTTTCGCTCAATTTTCAAGCTACATCTGTTCTCACAATAGTTACATTTGCTCCCGTATCTATGATCATTTTACAAGGATGCTTATTCGCGTATCCTTCGACGAACAGTACATTATCTCTGCTGCTCATTGAAGAGATTTGAACTTTCAGAGGGGCTGCATCTTTGCCTGGCAACCTTTGCCCCGTGAGGTTGCCACACTT